TCAAGGCTGATCTTTCTGTCTCTATGTCACGCCCTCTGTCCTCCCGCCTCTGATTCCTTTGCTCTGCCCACCTTTCTGTTGGACTTCCGTCCTGTGCTTCTTCATTTCTCTCAGTGCATTTTCTTAGTCTTGTCACTTTTCCTTTACTGATCTGTTTTTCAATATTCCACATCTTTGTCTTTCTGCTTTTTTATTTGCTTCTTTGTTTTAGAGATGGGGTCTTGCTTTGTCACCCAGGCTGGAGTGCAGTGGCACCATCACAGCGTACTGCAGCCTTGACCTCCTGGGCTCAAGCGATCCTCACCTCAGCCTCCCGAGTAGCTGGGACTACAGGCTTGAGTTAATTTTTTTTTTTAATGTTTTGTAGAGATGAAGTCTCGCTATGTTGTCCAGGCTGGTCTTGAAGTCCTGGCCTCAAGAGATCCTTCCATCTCAGCCTCTCAAAATGCTGGGGTTACAGGCGTAAGCCAATGTACCTGGCCTCTTCTTTATTGATCTCTGCTTTTGATACTCCATTCCTGTCTTGTCTTCTTTCTATGGATGTTTCTCTGCCTCTGTTTTCATGGACCTGACTCTCCAGTTCTCTTGTCCTGTCTCTGCCTCTCCCCCACCTTCCCTCTGACCTCCTATCCACTCCTCATCTCTCACCCCACCCCTACCCCCACCCCCACCCCCAGGAGTTGAGTGCATGGATGTTTCTTTTTTATTTACACATTTTCTTTCTGGGTTGCCGGAATAAACGGGACCTTTGACATTTGATGCTTCGGTGGCTCTGTGTGTCTGGCATGGGCAGAGGTGGAGATGACAGCAAGGTCTCAATGGACCCCTTATTCCACGACTCAGGCTCAAGTGAACTGGGGTGGGCAGGTCCAGCATAGGGATAGGGGCCCAGGGAGAGGCATCTGGTGAGATTGGGGGGGGGGTGGTAGAAGAAGATCTATTCCAAAGTTGTCTTGATCAAAAGCAATTTGGTTAAAAGCAATTTAATCGGCCAGGTGTGCTGGCTCATGCCTGTAATCCCAACACTTTGGGAGGACCAGGCAGGAGGACTGCTTGAGCCTAGGAGTTCAAGACAGGCCTGGGCAATATACTGAGACCTCATCTCTACAAAAAGTAAAAAAAAAAATTTGTCAGGTGTGGTAGCATGCACCTGTAGTCCCAGCTGCTTGGGAGGCTGGAGTGGGAGGATCACCTGAGCCCCAGAGATTGAGGCTGCAGTGAACAATGATCATGCCAGAGCCTGGACAACAGAGACCCCGACTAAAAAAAAAAAAAAGCAATTTGATCAAAACCACTGAGAATTCTATCACCATGATGAAAATTGGCCTCAAATGAATATTCTCAGTGTCTGGCCTTCCACTCGTCCATCAGTCTGGTATATTGCTAAGCGGTTGGCAATTTTTTAATGGGTTTTTAACAATTTCGCTGGCTTTTAAGAAGCTGGCTATGGGAGAGGGTAGGGCCCAGATGAATGTTTCCTTTTTCATTTCAATTTCAAAAATTGTTTTCAAACGAGTCACATCTGTGCTAACTAATAACAGAAAGCCAGAAACAGCCTTAAGGGGCACTTAGTTGAACACACAACCCACACCCTGTTTACCTGGAAGGGCCTTGGGCAGGGATGAGAAAAAAATGGGAAGTTCGGGAAGCAGGAGTATGAGGGAGTCAGGGAGAGACTGAACAGGTAAGGAGAGGGCTGGGCACAGTGGTTCGCGTCTGTAATCCCAGCACTTTGGGAGGCTGAGGCAGGAGAATCCCTTGAGCCCAGGAGACTAGCCTAAGCAACATAGTGAGACCTCATCTTTACCAAAAAATCTGAAAATTAATCAGGTGTGGTGGCACGTGCCTGTAGTTCCAGCTACTGGAGAGGCAGAGGCAGGATTGCTTGAGCATTGGAGATCAAGGCTGCAGCGAGCCACGACTGCACCACTGCACTCCAGCCTGGGCGACAGAGTAAGACCCTGTCTCCATTTTTTTTTTAAAGTAAGGAGGCTAAACCCTCAGCAGCCTCAGAGATCAGGCTAAAGGTGGGATAAGGTGGGTTGGGGCATCATAGAAGAGAGTAAGATGAAGGCATCTGTCTGGTGCTAGGACCGGCAAGGTGTCACAAGGATGAGGATGGAAGAGTCCTCACTGCAGCTGAGCTGAGCAGGCAAGAACGAAGGTGATGTGTGTGTGTGTGGGGGGGGGAAGGTGTGTGGCTGACACCGCCCCCATGTTGGCTCCATCAGGTGGTTCCGGCTGAATCCAGAGCAGAAACATTCTGCAAAAAGCCCCACAGGCCCCAGCCCTGCCCATGGAGGCTGCCACTCCCCTGGGAGGATGCACCCCCATATCTAATTAATGGCCTCCCTGATTAAATCATCTCTGCTCCGTGCTGGCATCTCCCGGAACTCAGACGCTGGGGCCATATTGGGAATGAAACCAATGAATAATAAATGGGGCTGCCTAATGCACTCATTTAAAACCAATTTTTGGAGAAATCCTCAAGAAAAGAAATTAATTTCCATTTAAATGAATATGTTTGACATCGGAAAAGACTCAGTTTCTAGATTAGCACGTGGAGAGCCACTTCGCTTTGTGCCTGCTGAAAAAGTGAAATTAAAAAATGGCATGGGCCCAGTGGCTCATGCGTGTAATCTCAGCACTTTGGGAAGTAGGACTGATTGAGCCCTAGAGTTTGAGACCAGCCTGGGCAATATAGTGAGACTGTTTTTGCAAACAAAAAAACTAGCAGGGTGTGGTGGCATGCACCTGTAATCCCAGCTACTCAGGAAGCTGAGGTGGAAGGATCGCCTGAGTCCAGGAGGTCAAGGCTGTGGTGGTGAGCTATGATCACGCTACTGTACTCCAACCTGGGTGACAGAGTGAGATCACAACTCAAAATCAAAACAAAGCAAAGCAAAACAAAAAAACTCCAGCAGGGTCTGGGAAACCTAGAACACTGTAACCTCCCCCTGCCAACTGACATTTATTTGGAGGCAAATCTCCAAGGTGAGGGGCGGTCTATCAGTCTTGGATATGAAGTTTTCCCAGAGTAAGATGGAGAACTTAGGCTGCCATATTGGACAATCTTTGTCCAAGATACACTTAGGCCTTGAAGAGCCATATTTCCACTGGATGGTAGTGGTGGTGGTGGGGGTGTCACAGTCTTCAGGCCCTTAGATGCCCTCCCCCGCCAAGTGTACTTTTTTTTTTTTTTTTTTGAGTCAAGGTCTCGGTCTGTCACCCAGGCTGGAGTACAGTGGCAAGATCACAGCTACTGTGCTCCTGGGCTCCTGGGCTCGGGTGATCCATACAGGCACCATCACCACCACACACCTGGTTTGTTTCTTAATTTTTTTGTAGAGATGGGGGTCTGTGTTGTCCAGGCTGGTCTTGAACTTCAGAGCTCAAGCAATCCCTGTACTGTGATGACAGCTGTGAGCCACCACGCCTGTTCCCACACACTTTGTGTCTGTGGCGTTTGGTCCAAGCAAGGATGGGCAGGAGGACTAACACTCTACTCCCAAGGCCAGGACCAGTCTGTGTGTATCTTAAGCTGTTGCCACTAACTCACTAACTTCTCCTATCACAAACATGCGCACGGGGACACAGGGATGCAGCTCGCATCTCATGGCCACCACCCTGTGTTCCCTAAGGTGGCTGGCTCGGGGCCTGCCCCATGGAGTAAGACGGCCATCTGGGAGAGCCTGGAGGGGATGAGCAAGGGAAGACTGCACTGTGGCCATCCTCAAGGCCTGGGATTTATGGCCCTGCTTCCAAGCAGGTGGGGCGGGTGGGATGGAGTTGAGGGAGGCCACAGCAGCCTCATA